TTATGTTTTGCGTTCATTTTCACGTTGTTGGGGTTTCGAAGCCTAACTGGAGGATATCGATGGTGTTCTGACCTTTGTCTGTGCTTGTCTGTGCTTGTCTGTGTCTAGTACCTACTTATCGTTGGTGTTTGTTAACATAGAACTCGCATGGTCACTGCTACTACTGCTACTCACTTGATCAGGAGTCGAAGTATTTCGCTTGACTCGGAAGTATCCATGTCATAATGACTTCTCAGCCTAACGGAGTCTCAAGTACTCAGGGATTGTATGGCTTTGTGGATCCGGGGGTCCACTGATGATGACATTGACAAGCTTCGATACGCCAAGTTCGAGTTCCAACTTGAATCGCTAAGCGTAGGTACCTAAGGTACGCGTACTAATTAGCCTACTTTAGCGTGCTTCGACGGTTCGCGGATCCAATTTCCAGGAACTCGTACTAAGTTGTAGTAAGTTGTAACCGTATAGTGAGTAAAACCTCTAACATACTAATACACTGGACACTACTTCTCTTTAAGTTTGTATCACTATCACTACTACCCACTCTCCTCCTCCCCGTCTACTCCTCGTCTACTCATCGGTTATGTTTACTTTGATGTTAGGTTAGAACTTGAAAGTTTAATGCTATCTACAAATGCGCTGAGGTCTTGTTACAATATATACAGTACTATACGGGATGCCAGTGAGGAGTTCGCAATCTCGATCGCGAGAAGGACGTTGAACGTTGAGGGTTGGGAGATTGGGGAAGAAGGGATACTGTAGCGATGTTGCATGTTGCATGTGAGGTTCGAAAATTAGACGAAACGCATTGAAAGACAAAGGAAAGAAAGGTTGAACGATGAAAAGAGCATATAGTATGCACACAATGCACACCATGCGAGGAGAAACGCAGAAAGACGAACGACCAACGGAGTATCACGTCGACGGAAGTGAGGATTGGAAACCGAACGGCACAAAGAACGCACAACGCCCGACTCAAAGCACAGAAGAAAAACACACACACAGAGAAAAAAGCAGAAGAAAAGGGAGAGAGAGAAGAAGAAAATGGGTTCAAAGATCATAACTGAGTCCACCCCTCCCCCGCAGGCCACTTCATATCGTCCCTCTCATACATCCACGCCCTCGACCCCCTCGCACCAGGCGACCCGTCTCTCCCATTCGTATTCACATTCCTCCTCGCCCCATCCGGTGTCCTCAACCCTGACCCTGACCCCGACCCCGACCCAGAGGTCCTATCTAGTCCCAGCTTCTTCAGTCTATCTTCTAGAGTTGACGGTCCGCTCTCCACATTGACACCAGAACCGGGACCAGAACGAGGATGAGAGTGAGAGTTGGAAACAGCGTTGGAGAGGGGCGAGTCAACGTCGAAATAACCAGACCCGAACGGACTCTGACCATCTTCCCTCCCCAACCCACCCGTTGTCACCCTCCTACTCCTCCTTCCTTCTTTCCTTCTCCTCTCATCTTCATCGTCTGAATTTGGAGTCGACTCGTCGTCATCATCGTCGTCGAAGACCTTTGACGTCCTTCTTTCCCATCCTTCCATCCCATCCTCACTCGCACCCGCACCCGCACCCGCACCCGCACCCGCACCTGCACCTGCACCTGCCCCGACATCCTCAAACAAACTCTCATCTCCACTCGGACTCTCACTCCCCCTCCCTGTAACAACCCCCTCCTCATCATCCATCAACGGCACCTCCCCCTCTCCCTTCCTCCCCAACCCCAACCCCAATCCCGAATGTCCCACCACAAACCCTCTCCGACTTAACCCCGCCTCAGCCTTGAACCTCGCCGCGTCCAATCTCGGTTGAGCCTTTTGTTGGAGTTGAGTGAGGGTACGGTGGATGGAGGATGCGAGAGGGGAGTCCGAGAGGGATGTTATGTCTCCCCGTGTGGAACTGGAGTGTACCGACCCGGGCGCGGGCGTACGATCTCGGGATTTAGAAGGAGAAGAAAGAGAAAGATGTCTTGACAGACTCTTATTCCTCGACGTGGAAGGGTAAGAAGGAGAAGAAGGCGGGACCGTAGATGAGAATATAGAGCTCGTCGAACCAGGTGTTCCAGTAATCTGAACGCTCTCCGGTCTTTTACGATTCCGCATAGGAGGGGGAACAGGTGGAGGAGAAGGCTGATGCATCGATTTAGACCTGAACAAACGAGTATTCGCTCCCGGACTACCCAGATCCGAACTCATATTCATATGACCCCCATTCCCAGAAGAGTTCGGCGATTCAGGTCTAACAGACCCTCCTCCTTCCGCACGTTCATTCCCGTCTGCAGAAAGCGGAGGTTTCCGATCCGGATGAACAGGCGGCGGGCCACCCCCAATCGACGAAAACTCAGGTTGGAGTTCCATAGGGAACTTCGGGGGAGAGCGGGCAGGAGAATGGAACGGAGAATGAAAGGGAGATTTCGGTTTCGACGCTCGATCGAAGAATGGTTTCGGACGCGACGATGAGGATGACGAGGATGGGCCTGCGCCAACGGTGGCGTTCGCGACTTGTTCGAGGGAACTTACAGAGGGAGGGGGAGGACTTGCTTTACGTCGGGGAGGGAGCGTAGGTCTATCAGAAGTCATCGAAGTCGAACCGTACGCTGAACCAGAAGCTGACCCAGACCCAGACCCAGACGAAGCAGAGTGCGGTTTCGTAGGGCTGATACTCCGTGTCCGTCTAGTATCCGTCCCAGGTGTGTACGCATGCGGAGCACTATTACTACTCTTCAGAACTTCCATGATTCGTTCTTTCTGGAGTTTCTCCTCTGCCTTCTTCAAACTCTGCGCGATCCTAGTCGCCTGGAGAGATTGCTGAATCAAGACATTGGTCGTGCCAGAACTAGAACTATGCGAAGTGGGGGCATGGAGCGAGGCATGTCGAGGAGGGGGAGGCGGGGGAGGTAAAGACGGTTTCCTCGGGGGCAAAGGCGGCTGTTTACCCTCCGGCACAGTCTGAGGGGGCCGTACACGAGGTAAAGTCGACGCGTTCTGGAGAGGCGTCGGGTCCTGCGATCGCGAGCGATTCAAAAATGGATTCGTGGAGAACTTGGGAGGTATTACAGGGGGAGACGTTTGTGTATTTGGCGAGCGGATGGGTTGGGGAGGTTTCCTGGACGAGGCTGTGTGAGCGTCCGAGGGTCCGATGGGATGCGCGGGACTGGTGTCTCGGGGTGTATTTGATGTGCTCCGGTCGTGGTTTGACCACGGACTTGAAGGTACTTCGGGGTGTGCTAGTAATATAGGATTCAATATCTCGCAGATGCATAACGGTAGTGCGCAGAGCAAGCATATGGATCGTGTACGGAACGCACAGCATATTATATGGGAATACCCGAATGGCAAGAGAATATCTCGAGAGCAGCCGCATACATAGACATATACGGCGTGGATTGAAAGAGACTCACCCTGGACAAAGACAAGAGCACTGTCGACTTGCTTTCCACTCCGGACATGCATCACGAGACGCATGACGGCGAAAAACTGGCCTCCGGACAGCTGGGCATCGAGGTTGGGTGAGATAGTTCTCAGGATAGCGTCAATGTCGTGTACGGGCAGATCGTTGTATCGTCCTCTGAGCCATGCGCGGGCCTCGCGCACGCTGATCTGGATGGAATTGTACGCGGCATCGTCAGAGGGTGTCGTCGACTGCGCGCGGTCGTCCTCGGCAAGGTCAAGGAGGGAGGTCGTGTAGAGGTCGTACTCGGCGTTGTTCAGCGCAGACGCATGGAGGGTGAGCGAGCGCATCGTCCTGCCGCCGTCGTCGTCAAAAAGCAAGAGGAGGACGTCGTGGTGGACGTCTTGCGCAGGTCGTGCTGCCGTCTAATCTCCATGACACAGCTCTTGGCGTTCATGGACTGCAGGCGAAAAAGTAGAAACTCGAGAACATCATTCGGAATTTCGGATACGGGGAATCGAACCCCGAGCTACCGCGATGACCAGGGAGCCAGTTGACTCTCAAAGTGAGAGGCGGTAATGTTAGCCATTACACCATATCCGACTTGGAAGGATGTTGCAATATTTGTCCCATGATTCCCTCACGTTTCCTTCCGACCTTGTTACGCTGCGAATCATGGCAGTGGCCAACCCTTCACGGTCTTAAACGTTCAACGTTCAGTTTTGATATTCCAGCCGTTATGCCTTACTATCCTCGATTGCTTTGTTGCTACATCATAATGGCTTTGCGAGTGCCGTCACTACTCAGACCGTAGGTTCTTCAGAATCCTGCCCTACTGCTAGCCCTGATATACGCCGAGATATCGTCTAGCTTGGTTCGCATCCTTTTTGTTGGCTTTCTGTGCTCTTGCTCTCAAACTATGCCGCTGCATGGTCGCTTCCCATGCACAATGCCTCACGAATGTCGGATAACGTCACTCAGTAACATCTCACTGCTCCGCCGATGTTCGAATTCGTCTCAACCGGCTCTTACATACTTCCATTACCTTGGACGCTCGGTGATAGGTGCGCAGTGTACACATTCGTTCATTAATCTTAATTGCCGGTACGGGTTGTCTCAAGTAATCGCCGCCGTAAGCTGACAGTTCATATTGTTCATTTTCGAATGACGTTACGAGCTCGTTCCTCTCACGCCGTCTCACCCAATCCCATCCGACAGTGTTGCACCCCGACCTCCGGAGTCATTAATCATTTGCAAAGAACCGAGTCGCACGTACGTCCTGCGACGGAACCTGCGAATGACCTTTCTGCCGTGATGTCGATACTCCCTTGCTACCTCTCGCCCATTCATCTCTTGGATTTGATTTCATCCCTCACTTGTCAGGTCCAAGTCATGCAATCAACTTTTATATTTGTATTAGTATGTACAGGAATTATGGATACAGTGCTCTCGACATCGAGGAAGCATGAACCAACTTTGCAAGCTACCCCTCGTCAGCTGTAAACCCAGGTATCGCTACTGTTGTCATCGTTTGACGGGCAGGGAAGCCTTGCAGAGTGCGTCTACTCCTATGTTCGTGTATGATATTCTGCAAAAAGAGATCATTGCCAATCCGATATGGTGTAACGGCTAACATTACCGCCTTTCATCTGTTTGAAATTGTCTGGTGTGAGCGCGGTAGCTCGGGGTTCGATTCCCCGTATCGGAGTCTCTTTTTCGTCTCGCGCATTTGTGCACCCCACAGTACCGGTAAAGCCTTCTTTTTTTCAAACGTTTTGCTGTTTGGAAGCATAAGTATAGGAAGAAGTACACCTACACCTGTGAACATTCATGGGGAGCATACTTAAAAGGACCCAGCCTAACCCTGAACTTTAACCGGCATTGTTAGTTGATGAGGAATCCAGGTCGCCAAGCAGCTGAGTTTCCTCCAAACGCGTGCAGAATTGCGCAAGACTCATGCATGGCGCTCGAGGGAATTCAAAGAGACCGACCCCACGGGCCACAACCTTGAATCATCGATCATTTATTGCAACTCCCAGTCAATGACTCGGCTGGGAAAGGCGATAACCATCTTGTTTGGGAGATGGTGATTCAACTTGTCTACAGGCTACTGGATGATGTTCGTCGATGGAATAGTTGGAGAGATCGCATTGTTCGTATTCCCTGCTAAAATGGATATCTGCTTTGCCGATACCAAAGCTAAGGGTGGTTAGAAGTTTATTGCTACCGACTACCGGACGGGATGGCGAAAACGTAACGTAGCAGCGAGCATTCATACATAGCATACCCTTTACCTGTCACTAGTCCTCCCAAGTCCCGAATGCCGAGCTAATTACTCGTGAGGGTTGGGTAGTCAAACAACCTATTCAAGTTGAGACGTGTGCATACGAAGTTGCGAAGGTATGCACATAAAATCCAGATCCTTACACCGAGTTTACTTCGAATGCCTAAGTACCTTCTGACAAAATGATATAGCGGCGGAACATGTACAGTATACCTTCGTAGTGACTAGCGCACCCTATGGACACTTCCACGATCCGAGTTTCTTCACGTCGTGTACCTAAGGGAATCCATGGTGAACTTAGCTAGGGATGAGTAATTGATTCGGAACCTCAAACTTCAATGAGAGAGAGGGCGGACCGCGATATATGAGAGGTTAAAGATCTCGCTCATGGGTCCTGAGAGAGATAGCCACAGACTCCCGGTATCGTTGCTGTAGACTCTAGAGTACATCCCAGGCTAAACAAACTCACCTCTTTACTGACATCATGGGGCCATTTCTGAAGTCGCGTCCGGTTCGTATTCCTCTCAACGCACAGCACGGAGTACACGCTACGACGGTACTTGGACTTTTGGACCTTCCATCTTACCAATCGGATATGGTGTAATGGCTAACATTACCGCCTCTCACCTTGAGAGTAAACTGGCTCCCAAGTCATCGCGGTAGCTCGGGGTTCGATTCCCCGTATCCGAATGTGGAAAGCATTCCGCAGATATGTTATTTTTGTCGGATTTTATGTATTCATCCTCATGAACATGAATAGCACTTTCCATGGTTCACTGGAGATGCCCAAAATTTGGCACCGAATTTTTGAGGGACCAAGTGTCAACGCGCAGTGTCCATGAGCAGTGCTGTAATTCAACTATTCTACATGCAAATTTGTTTCGACCACAGATGTACGGTACGAACCAGTGCCACCCCCTTTGACAGAGCACTTCCCCACAAACCGGCACGCAATGCCTCATAAGAGAGTTACTTGTACAATCCCTCCACCTTCGCATTGACCCAAACGTCGGGAGGAGCCAAACTCCAAACGCCCACCTTCCCTCCATCGCTTTCATCACTCTCAGTCTTACCCTGCTTCCACCTTCCAACGAGTTCCTTAGCTTCCACGGGTGGGATATCTGCTCTCCGAGTCCCCACTGTGATGTGCAAGACGGATTTGACGGTAGGCGGGAGGGAAGTAATCAGTTGGACGGACGGCGAGTTCAACAGCGTTTGTGGAGATGGGGTAGGTGTGGTTTCGGATTCGGATTCGGAGAGAGCAGAGAGGTCTGAGATGCTTATGGCCATTACCCTCTGGTTCCATACTAACTTGTCCAGTCTGAATGTGAAACTCGTTTCGGTGCCTGCGGCTGCTTTACATTTCTCCCAGAGCATCTTGCTCGTCTTCCCTTCTTCGGTTTCGGTATTGAGGGACTTGGAGTGGACGAGTGTGACGTGGGGGATTCGATCGCCTGTTCGGTTATTCGCCACGAGTTCTTCAAAGATCTTCTTGGCTTCGTCGGGAACAGATGGGTCGTTCGATTGGACGAGTTTAGACTTGAGGAAGGAGACGAGGTCGAGTGAAGAAGGAACCAGAGCGTAATATCTCGGTTCTTTCGCCTTCTTCTTCTCTTGTTCCTTTGCAGCCTTCGAAGGAGGGTCGGGCTGTTTGATCGTTTTTGGTTTATACGACTTAGCAGCCTCGAGTGCCTCGTGAATCTTCTCGTCACTTGGTCTCTCCACACCGAGAACATCGACGAGAACGTTCACGACCCTCTTCAATGCCTTCTCCACATCCTCCCTCACATCCATCTCAACGCTCACATCGACCTCATCCTCTGCCAATTCTTCAGATTGATTGATGAACCGCCACAGGATCGCTTCGTGTTCGTCGGATGAGATGAGGGATTGATGGTTCACGCCTCGTGCGGCTATTCGCTCAGCACAGATGGAGTGGATGATGGGTTTCGGGAGGTTGGAGAGGGTGTAGTTGAGGGCCAGGAGTCGGACGGGCGGACGCATGTGGGCAGTTGCGTCTCGAAGTTGTTTGCGATGTTGACGGAGATGGTTGTTCCTGCGAAGCAAGAGGTAAGCATTTATATTCAAGAGGATAGAAATAGGGAGAACGTGCTTGTCTGCGATGACGACGTCGTATCTCTTCAGAAGGTCCACAACGTTCTTGATGAACACCGGCGCGGCTTTCTTCGCTTTCACATCGTCACTCTGGGTATGTCCAAACCCAAACAGGTGCGTGAGGGCGACAGCAAGAGTAGTCTTACCCACACCAGGAATGGCGATTGGCACGATAATCGTCTTGCCGAACTGCTTCTGAGGATCCGAAACTGTCACAGACGCGGACGACTCAGTAGCAATCGTAGGCTGCTCCGAGCTCGGGTCAACGGCCTCTCTCTCAGGGGGAACCTTCCCAACTTCCTCCAAAGCCTTCCTTCCCTCTTTTGTCTCCTCCAACCACTTCAAGAATCTCTCCCTCGTAGCGATAATCCCCCTCCCCTTCGTATACTCACTGAACTGACTCCTATCCCTCTGAATCTCCTCGATCACCCATTTCACGTATACCCTTGTCTCCGGCCTGCGTAACTTCGATTTAGGCACGTTGGACATAGTCGGTCCCTTGGACAAGAGCGTTTTGGTCACTTCACGCCAATCGCGGTACATCATATACGGTTCGTCGAATTTCACTTTGAAGAAGAACGAAGAACCAGGTTCGTACGGACTCGCGCTAGCCGGTTTGTTGCCTTTCGTCGGAGGACTCTTGAGCGAGACGTGTGTCCGTACTACGAACCCTTCCAAAGCTTCGCCTTTCCATTTACCGGTCTTGGAGATCTCGTCGGTGAATTCGCGTACGGCAGGGATCGTACTTAGTTCGGTGGAAGGTGTTTGGATGAATCCCCATTCTTGCGCAAAGGCGTTGACGGTTTGAGGGAGTTCGGTGCGGAAGTGTTTGGAACATGCGTTTAGGCCGTGTAGGTGTAATCCGGTTTTGTCGGATGGATAGGGGAGGACGTGTTCCTCGAAGGAGTCATCACAAAGCTGTTCATGATGATACATACATTAGTTACGTTATAGTACATGATTGAAGAAGAGAGATATACCTCAGCAACAGCAGTCCAGTTCTTCTCCCAGAGTGTGGCGGCTAGCTGTTCCTCGGTCTTGCCAGCAGCAGCAAGATGTTTCTTCAACCAGTTCCAGCCCATCTCTGCATGACTTGGAGAGCCAGGCGGACCAAAACCCATTGCATGTTTCGAGGTTACTAGAAGCTTTGTGGGAGTCAAAGCAGCAATGAAGATGATACAACCGTTGGATTTGAGCGTGAGTGTGTAGGGCGGGGTCGTGTGCTCTTCTAGGGCTGGCCACTAGCATATCAGTTGGTTAGGTTACGCGTTCACCAGTTACAGATAGATCCACTGAGACGTAAAGATGGTCGTAGTGCATCCAGACGCGTCACACCAGGCATGCACTATACGAACATTCTCACATCTATAGAGACCAAAGATGCTTACCGTGTTCCATGGAACTTCGCCAATATTGAAGAACTTGTCGTACCCCCTCGCGACGATCCTGTACTTTGTCTCGTTACCAACCTGAACTTCCTGGGTGAACAGGCCACGAGCGAGGGTTGGGAATGGCGAAGGAATATCATAGTACTTGTGCTCATTCATCTTCCAGCTCCGAAGCTTGATGCTCGGATCGGCTGGAGCATCGTACTCTGTCGATCGGATGAGTTTTGGAGACTTTTTGGAAATCGCATAGAGCTGCGAAATGAGTTGAGAATCCTCCTCATTGATTTTGGAACGGAAATCGACGGTTGTATCTGTAGACATCTTGACTTTACTCGTTGAGCTACTAGACTTGAGTACGGACTGAGTGGTGGTAAAGAAACGATATCGAGGCAGGACGCGGGTTAACGGTCGATGAGCATGTGTGGAGGCAAACACGGAAATGATTCGAGCAAAAATGGTGGGCCTTTTTATGTGTCGAGGGTGACTCGCGTTGTTAGCAGGATCGCCGCCCAAAGGATAGCCATCCCGCGTCGATGTCATAGCTCTGCGCGGACATCTAATCTAATCTATGCAGCATTGAGCGTCTATCTGGGCTAGGACTTGGTCTTCCGTCACTGGGCAAGTCCTCCTCTATCCTTCTTCCTCCTCAGGGCCTTTTGTGCGCACATTCGATTCGACCGTCTACTCGTCTAGGAACGTCTCGCTGAAGGTTATTTGTTTGGTTCTGGGTCTTTCAGCGCGAACGGCTTCGGGTTGCCACTAAGTTTCCGATCCCCTCGAGCGTCGCGCAGTCCGTAACTGCAAGAGGTCCAGGTTGCCCACCATGGCGGAGAAGTCGAACCCCAACATGTTGTTTGCAAACTTCAATCAGGACTTTACGTGAGCTCTCAGAACTGCTCGTGAGTTAACCATTGTGTGTGA